TGCATTTTAACTATTCTCCGACCACGTTATATAGGTGGCGGTTATTATACTTGAATTGCACTATCATCTATTTTTATATGACAATACTATGCATGAGTATATGTCACCATATCCCCCCCCCCCATAGAATAATTTTATGTTAAATACATTGCATTTGGAAATGTAGTGACATTTGCACCGCTGTGCATATAATTATAAATAATATACTTTAAAAGTTTCAAAATTTGAACTTTAAATGCTTATAAAAAAAATTGTACCTATGTATTTTTAACATTTTTTAGCTGATATTGTAAATATATTATATTTTCAAGCTTTTTGAGCCAACAAATAAAACTTAATTGAAAATAATTATAGAAAAAAAAACTATAAAAATTGAAAATGTCATCACAGCTCAAAACGAGTCAAAATATTTAGAAAATTGTATTTAGTATATGAATTGATAATATAAGCATAATATGGTGTTAATTTCAAGTATCTGCAGTAATTCGTTTTTGAATTATAATAAAATAAGAAAAGCGCTATATGAGAAATGGAGTGAATATTCAATGTTGTAAAAATTGAACTTCAAGCGCTCATAAAAATTTAATTTGACTTTTTAGTAGAATTTTTTTGATAAAGGTAGATAAACTTACGAGGAACCTTGTATTACATTTTCAGGTTTTTAAACGGGGCAAACATTTTTTTATGGACAAATTAAAAAAAAACAAATAATAATTGAAAATGTCATATGAATATAAATAGTTTAACACGAGTCAAAATATTTCGAAAATTGTAAGGTGTATGGAAAACGTTAACATTAACATTCAGTGATCATTTTATTTATCTACGATATTTTTTTTTTAGAGTTACATCAAAATCCAAAATCGATTTTGTCAAAAACCCAACTTTCCGTATAAATTCCAATTTTTCCTACCGCTTTTGAAAACTATTGGGAATTTTTTACTTTCGAATCTCCAAAGTACCTACCAACTAAAAATTTACTTTCCTACCAAAAAAGATGATGTTGAAAAAAATCGAAGCACTTTTAACTGTCCCATAACGTGATAACAAAGAACAAAAATTAAAAACACACATCATTGTAAAATCAATACATCCATCGCTCTGCTCAGTATCTAAGAAAGTACATGGACACGATTTTTTTTTTCATTTTAAGTTCAAATTTTGACAATATTAATTAAATTGAAAGTGTATAACAAGTTCAACTTTTATAGCTAAAGATTGAAAATTTTAAACTAGGTTCCTCGTAAGTAATAAATTCTGTTACCAAAAAATCTAAAAAAAATATATTAAAAGTTATTTCAAGTTCAAATTTGGTCAATATTACATATTAATAACCAAGAATAAAGATTTTGGTTATATTGTTACAATTTGAAAATATTATCCATGGGTATCTATCTAAATATTTTTAAGTATGTTATAATATTATTATATAAAAAATATGATAACATACAAAAAATATTAATTCAACCTATCAGCTACAGCATTAATGATATAATTTAAAATATTTAAGCCTGAAAAAACGTCTCCGTTCAGAATCATATTTCGTATATAATGATTATATCATTGAATTCAAATTTAACCACCATCCATTAATGTCATCACTCAACAGTCAAATAAAGTGACCCACTTGTACTTGAATGTTGTAACATAGGTAGTGTACAGCAGAGCGAGTCACCCACTTTTTTATTTTATAATATAAAAGACGTTTATAATCTGTACACAATAATACAAAAAAGTAAATACCTTGACATTAATTGTTGTATATACATGATCCAAAACCATTCTATCCACTATTTTAACAAAAAATTGTATTTTAGATTCTCCGGCTAACCTTAAAGGTTTCTGGTGATAGTTATACCTCAGATCTTAACAGATTTTTATCTTCATTGTATTCAGTATTGTATGAATTATATTTTCAGTTTTTCTCATCATATTTATTGTATTATTACTTAATAGTTATATTTATATTATTTATATTTTTGTCTTTCTGTGCACTAATATTGTTTGTATTTCCTGCACATATTATAAAATTATGAAATAGGGCTCATGTCAGTAAATTGAAATAAACAAATGTCATACACCTACAATAATGACATTAATTGTTGAAACTTATTTGTGTGCTGATTTAAAAAAAAAAGGAGCCAATACTCGATACCAAATAGCAAATAGTAATGATAATAAAATATCTTTAATTATCAGTAATATGACCATACTAGGTTTATAAATACTGAATTATCCAGTTATTTAGATGTAGTTGCTGAATTTTTACAAAATCAATAATACTCAGGCAGGCATCAAAGATGACTTTTTTTTTAAATTTAGCATATACTCAGTCAAATAATAATCATATTCAGTAGCAGATGTCAGGTCTCCCAAATTAATCATATGTACGCCTGCTATGAAGAAATACTATGCTCATGCACTCAAGTCGGCTGCCGACTCATTTGAAAATTAATTGAGTATAGATTAGGGTTGCCATACGTCCCGGTACACCGGGACATGTCACCAGTTCATGACTTCNAATAATAGAATGAATTAGATAAGAAGGAGCGCTTTGCGGGCTTTATTAATACCTTAATTTCAAATTAAGTTATTAGCATTTCAAAATTGTTAATTTTAGAGCATAGCATAACATACTCTTAAGGGAAATTGTTCAACATATTCTTGACACCTATAAATCTAAGGTTTAGTGATTATTTCAAACTAAATTGAATTATTATTGTTTACTTTAGTATACATTTACACTTAGTCTTATTCATAGATTTGGTTTAGAATCCACCAATTTTAAAATGTATTTAGGCAATATTATAAACTATAGTATTTTCCTTTAGTACTATTTAATGATGAATTGAAAAATTTAATTTATTAACTTTCTACAAGTATTAATATCCAATACCAAAAATGATTCCCTAACGGTGTCATGTATTACAGTGATGTGACAATAGACATTTTTTTTTTATATTGTACATGTTCAAAGTATAAACATCGGTATAAACAAAATATGACATTACTATGGCATTATGGCGAGGGTTACCAGTAGCGTTGCCAACCGTCTACAGGGCTCAAATATTTCCCGGTCAGTACTTGAACTTTTATGGCAACCCTAGTATAGATGAAACTAATTAAGAACAATTCTTAAAAAAAAACAAATTTATCAAACATAAGATACAATAAAAATTGACGATATATTATATCAAAAAATATTGTAGTAACATTAACGAGCACTGACAGACACTTGCCAAACTCTAATGTTATTGTCTGAGTATCCAGCAAACAATGTTTGTCCATCAGTTGACCATGCAAGTGACAGACATCTGGGTGGTTCGGTATTGCTATTCTGTGATTGAGATACAACTTCTGGGCGAAGTTCCTCAACCATTTCTTTGCTTTCCAAATCCTAAATGACAAATGCAAAATATAACATTAATACACATGTCAATTTAACACATAAACACCTACTACTAACTGTAGTGGATTAAAATACCAATAAACACTTTCATAAAATATAAATTTAAAAAAAAAAACAAAAAAATGCTACATACCCAAATTTTGATTGATGGTCCAAATGCAGCGCACAACCAGTAACGGTTGGGGCTAAAGCACAAAGCTTCAATGATATCGTTATGGTCCAGTGTGTGCAAGTGTTTGCCGTCATTAAGATCCCATAACATAGCTTTGCAATCCTATAAAAATTAAATTATAATAAAATATACATACATTTTTTATTCGTTGCTTAGCTTATCAAAAATGTATTTTTTTATTACTTTTCCTCCTGAAGCACACAAAGAACCATCAGGTGAAACAGTAACGGTGTTAAGGTATCCAGTGTGTCCATAATGGTTGGTCTTGATGCGGCAGTTAGTTAAGTTCCATACCTTGACAACCTTGTCCCAACCAGCACTCACAATGATTGGGTTATGGATATTAGGAGAGAACCGTACACATGATACCCAATCGCTATGTCCATCATCCTAAATAATATTGAACTCATTAATTAATTTGAAACAAAAAATATTTAGAAAACATTCCTAACTACCTACACTAAAAAATTAATAAGTGGGGAAGATTAGTAAATGTCTGTTTCTATTAATCAAGAAAATTATCTGTTTAAAAACAAATGAAATGATACAGGTCAAGGGCAAAGTGGACTTTGTAAAACTAGATGTAAATTATGTTATCTTTTATAACTGGTTATGAAAACTATAAAAGTTCATGATTAAAAATCTTATATTAAAATCTCAACAATTACAACGAAATATCCGGAACATGACATTATAGATTTCTGAATGTAACTCATTATTTAAAAGAGATTAAACACACAGAGGAATTAAAAACTATTTTTCAAGTATAAGGTCTTAACATATATTGATTCGGATTCTCATATCCACCACGTCATTTTTAGAATTTTATTTGATAAATATATGCAAATTTAACTTGAGGTACATATACAACTCACTTGTCTTACTAACATAAATAACTTGCGTATAAACTTTGTGAATTGTATAACAAGAATCTAATTTATTGTTATTTTTAATAATAGAATGAATTAGATAAGAAGGAGCGCTTTGCGGGTTTTATTAATACCTTAATTTCAAATTAAGTTATTAGCATTTCAAAATTGTTAATTTTAGAGCATAGCATAACATACTCTTAAGGGAAATTGTTCAACATATTCTTGACACCTATAAATCTAAGGTTTAGTGATTATTTCAAACTAAATTGAATTATTATTGTTTACTTTAGTATACATTTACACTTAGTCTTATTCATAGATTTGGTTTAGAATCCACCAATTTTAAAATGTATTTAGGCAATATTATAAACTATAGTATTTTCCTTTAGTACTATTTAATGATGAATTGAAAAATTTAATTTATTAACTTTCTACAAGTATTAATATCCAATACCAAAAATGATTCCCTAACGGTGTCATGTATTACAGTGATGTGACAATAGACATTTTTTTTTTATATTGTACATGTTCAAAGTATAAACATCGGTATAAACAAAATATGACATTACTATGGCATTATGGCGAGGGTTACCAGTAGCGTTGCCAACCGTCTACAGGGCTCAAATATTGCGTCCCGCTATGCGTGTTCGCGGGACGCTAATTATCCCGCTTCTAGGTAAACCTGTCAAAGTCCTATTAAATATAAATATTACGTTCGTAATGTTCGTATTTTGCGCATTTGAAATTATTTTCCATCGATTATTCCATCTAAATTATTATTGTTATCATAAGCGTTTAGTGTAATATTATTTAGAATGGGTAGTTATTTTTAGAACTTATGCTTATTAAATGATATGTAATTAAAAAATTATTTTGTTAAGTAATAGAGTAATTTAGTGTTTTTAGTCTATTAGTCCTGGTTCATTTTTTTATTTTAATCCTACATGCTCAAATGTGCCGAATCACAAGACAAGTACTCTTTCAAAAAGAAAAACTAATTGTCTTGTGATAAGGTACTCTTAACTGAGCAAAGTGTTTTATTTAATGATTAATATTGTGTTAAAAACTTAAGATGATTATTCTGTTAATTTTATTTCAAATTTTAAATAAAACTGATAAAAATGATTAAAATTGTTTTTCTTTCGATTTTGTAAATTTGTAGTATTGTCCCGTTTTTTTTTGTCGAGTCCTGCTTGTAAATATCTGGTTTCCCGCTTATCTGTAAATAAGAGTTAGCAACCCTAGTTACCAGACATCCTCTTTTTAAACTTAAATGAAATCATCCAGGGGGTTTTTTCAATACCGGAAAATGTTAGGGTTTTTCACACACTGTGAATTTATTAAATAATTACCTCGATATATCGGGATAGTCTATGGGTTGATGGTCAAAAACATCACTAATAATTTATAAGAAAAACAATTGTGAAGATAGTCCTGTTCTCAATGAACTTATAGGTCTGTAATAATTAGGTACTCGTTCAAAAATCCATTAATTGTTTTAAATGTGATACCATTTATATTGATCTAAATTAGGGTGTCACCGAAAATAAAGGCCGAGAAGCACTGTAATACAATAATGTTAAGCAGCAGAGCTTCTGCATTAAAAACACTTGAATATGCAGACAATAATAACCTTACCAAACCTAAACCTTATTCAATAAAAACCTTTTATCATGCAATAACCTCAAAAACAAGAGAAAAAAATATAACAATTTATTTTAGATTTTGAACTCGAATCAATAATATTAATTTTTTGATCATGTTTACATTTATAGGGATTTTTATTGTATGAGTATCTGACTTGGCATTTAAACTTAGCAACTTCTGAACTGATAAAATGATATGAAACTGGTTACAATATTGAAACAATAATTTTTAGAAACCATTTAATGGATATAAACACGTTTAATTTACAATAGCAAAATGTGATAAACTGCGAAAACATGATTAAAAAAAGCTAAAGAAGAATGCCAATCAATATTTTTTCTCTGCAAAGAAACATTAGGAATTATAGATGTTTTTGCTATTTGTTTGTTACTATGGCAATACACATAATTGTTTGTAAAACCAGTTAGAAAAAAAGTATTATCCAGCCCAAAAACATATCTATATTAAAAAGAAACAATAATAATTAATTGATTTTGACATAATATATATTATATCAATTTATAAAATAGACTTAACCTGAACCTAATTATTCAGGTTGTTTGGGTAAGGGACAATAGTAAATGTAGTTATCACAGAATAACAAGGGATAGACAATCAAATATAGATATTAAAACAAATTTTATCTTAATAGACTATAGAAACATTAATGCAAATATTAAGAAGGCCAAATTGAAAAATGTCTAACGTTAACAAAAATATTATTTAAAGAACATAATAACACAGTATCATACTATATTCTTGAAAATAATCTAAATATAATTATTATTTCAAAATATATTGTAACTAAGCATTAATGATACAACCAATATTTAAGTAGATACTCAAGGGAAAAAAAATCACTTTTGTCAAATTTTGAAAGATGCCATCGGCATATCAAGAACCACATGATCACGCTATTACCAATTCGTTGGTGGGAGATACGCAGCACTGACAAAAATCAGTCGCCTGACTGATTAATCTCTTTTGGGATAGAGTAGTTAGTACTTAAGTAAAAATTTAGCTTGTCTCTTACCTGAATAGTGTATTTGCACTCAGCCAAAGTATTCCACAACTTGATAGTCTTGTCCCGACTTCCAGAAACGATTTGACGGTTGTCAGCAGAGAAGGCAACGCTCAATACATCCTATACAGAAATCATAGTTAAATGGATGTACAAATGAATGTGGCCTTAATGAACAATCCGCGAAGCATATACCGACATGAGTAAGTACTTACCAAGCAGTAAAACTTCTATATATAATAAAAAAAAAAAAAGTAAAAAAAAAGCTTGAGATATTGAACCTTGGTGTGGTCTTCAAAACGACGAGTGGTACGTCCAGCAGCCAAATCCCACAGACGAAGAGTCTTATCCCAAGAACCGGAAAGAGCGTAGTTACCATCTGATGAAAGAACGACGTCGCTGACGAAGTGCGAATGTCCGTACAAACGTTTCTTGGGGATACCATAGTTGAGCTCATCACGTGTCAGATCCCAAACAATCAAGGTCTTGTCTGTGGAGTAAAATATCGTGGATTAGTAACCGGACCAAAACCGAAAGATTTGAAGTAGGTAGTTTGGTGCCGCCGCGGGCCACAAGACATCCGCGAACCCTAAACACAACCGGAGCCCGGAGGTAAATCGCGCTAGCAGTCCCACGCGCAAAATGGGGAATAGATCAAAATTGCTTGTGGAAAAACTGTGTGTTAAGCCACAGTGCGATACTAACGAACGACGGGAAGACGCGAGGGTAGGCTTTAGGCAGATGCAGCACTTACCTCGTGAACAAGACAGAATCATGTCAGTGTGGATCGGATTGGTGGCGATCTGCGTAACCCAACCATTATGCCCACGAAGGGTACCACGGAGTTGCATTGTCTCAGTCATTGCGAAGAATTTGGATAAAATCTGTTGTACTTGTAAATAGCAAAGAAAAAGAACGAGAAAACCGGAGGAGTTCACGTGTTCAGTTCGGGGCCATAGGAAAGAGAGATGTGCGAAGCGAGTGCGGACGCGGATCGGCTTTGCTTTCGTGTTTGGGGTTAGGTTACCACTGTTACCAGTCGTGTATATTGTAAACTACTAACCACGGTAGTAGAACAATATTGACACAGCAATGTATCGAATTTCATTATTATTGTAATTCAATGTTGTTCGTATACATTTGTTATAAAAAAAACATTTCTTGTAAAAACTCTTCGCTGTACAAATACAGTAGTTAATTTATATTTCACCAAAATTATTTTTTTTTTTAATATTATTCGTTGCGACACACTATCAGAGTTAAACGTATGCGTGGCCACACTGATCCACGAACATGGCCATAAAATTAGTGCGCGTTTTGAAAAATAACCCGAATTAATGTTATGCATAAATGGGCATATTTACTAACATAATTTTTATCCAAAAAAAAATATTGGAATCATTTTGTTTCGAAATTTTTAGCTAATTCGTACCATACACATTGAGATTAAAATTTTAATAATAGGTATACAATTTTTATGTTGCACTTCATTGTAGAGTACAGTAGCCAAGATTTTTTTTCGTAGGGGGAGAGCTACAATTATTTTTTGCTAGAGCTAGAATACTACTGATACTACCGGGTACAGTAAGTTTGATATTTGGGGGGGGGGCTAAAGCTCTAAAGCTCCTCCCTGACTACGGCATTACCATTGTAAATTTATATCCAGTTACAATTTGTTGTGTTTAATTGTACTAAAATGTACTTGATACGTCTATACCTACTAGACACAAGTTACCTGATCATCAATATCAGTATTAAATGTATGAATAAATCAGGTATTCGGTTTTAATAATACAACTGTTGATTTGTATTTTAATATAGGTAATGTATCATAAATAACTAGGTACCACGATTTAAGAAATCTTTAATCATGATAAGTACATACATGATTTTCAAGAAAGAATTTGGAATGTATTGGCACGTATTGGGTCAATTTTGAGCATTCAAGATGTTAAGCGTGCAATATGTTATTATTATACTATTATATTCATGTATTAAAGGGTTCGTCCCGTATTGTAAAATAAAATAAAATAAAAATATACAAGCGACACGTATCGAGTATCGACCCGTATCGGACTCGGACTCCGATACGAGGTGGTACGTAACTATTCCGTATCGAATTTTTCTTCTTGAAAATCTTTATACTTTCTTATGTTTCTATATACTTCAATACATATAGTATAAGTGGTGCCTAATTTGTAATAGTAAACCTATTTCACTCCAATAGATAGCCACATTTGGCGTGACGTTCGTCTACGTGTCTCACGCAACATCGATTTTTTTTTAAATTATTATTTGTTTAGATTATAACGACTAATTGCCTACTAATTCTAACATATCTAATAAGAGTAGTGGGTACTAAAAAGCACAGTACCTACTAATTATAATATTAATAATAATGATAATTGCACTTACTACTAGGTAGGTACGTGGATTCAATTTTTATACCCATACCTATCACCTACACGATATTTGAGGTGCCTAACTTTCTTTCTTCCTTCAATAAAAGGTTTAAATCAAGTTCAGACATTTAACTTCACCACCTTCCTTGTTACCTTCTCAAGTATGCACTATGCAGTGATACACATTCTGATGTTAAATACTGGCTTAGGATTTTTATAAAGAAAATTTATATTAATTTGCATATACAAAGTACATCCATATTTGAAGGAGAAATTTTACTATAAATAAGTACCAAGTTAAACGGAAGACGAAAATAACAGGGCTAACTAATCCTCTGGATACATTAAAATAGAGGCATATTTCTAAATGTTAAACATTATACCTATATACCTATTTAGGTATTCAAAATTTAAAAATATTGGGAAGTAGGTACTTAATATTGTACGAGTGACAACTGTTTCAGCTAAAAAAATCTAATCTGAAGCGAATTCAAACAAACCTATTTGAGAAATTCTATTGGTGAAAATCAATCAAATGATTTGGCAATAACTATTTATAATATGATACCTATACTTAGACATTTATCTAGTTGTCGTGCTTTACTTAATAAGCAATCGTTCACATAATTATATTGTATGTTCTATTCATAGACCTATTAACTAATTAATGGGTCTATGGTTCTATTATATCAATAGGTACCTACAGGTACCTTAGTACATATTTCATAATATTATGTAATGATTATAAATTATATTAAATATGTAAACACAAACATACCTATTTAATAATAAAACTATATACAAATATAGTTATAAAAATATATGTATAAAAAATTTAATTTCAGTAAAAATGTTGTTAAAAACCTACTAATTTGTCAACGAATTGAATCTTTGTTTTTTGGTTATTTTCATATTTATTCGTAATGTATCTCGCAGTCTTATACAATTTTCTTTCAATATTCTTCTAATACAGGATGATCGATTTAAAATTTAAAATAAAACATTAGTCCAGAAAACCTTAACATTTTTGATAACATGTTTTTTACAGTCAAATAATTTTTAAGTCATTAGTCATTAGAACTCATTACAAAACAAAATTCTTATTATTATGGCTTTCTAAAATTGTTTTAAATAACAACAAATAAACAACATTCATATTTTTAATTTCATGAAGCAAAATTTCCGACAAGTACCTTTATACCTTAGTTTATTAGTCACAATTATTATAAGTAAATAGATAGGTACCATTTGTAAAGTTTAGATGGACGGAGTAGTGGACCAAAATTTTTCTGGATACTTACCCTTACTGATACTGCTGTATCACTCCACTCGCCACTCAACAAAACTTTAAATACTCATAAGCAAAACTCAAATACCTACTAGGTAATCATTCCAAAGTCGTTGTTTATATATCGATAAGTACTCCATAAAATATTCAGCTTTGGAATAAACTATAAAGAATTTAAGTGGATTTACGTTCAATGGATCACACGATCAATATGAAAATATTATGGTCGTACTATTTGTATTATGAATTATGATATACCATATACAGTGATCATTCATGCCGCAAGCAGCTCGGAAGCACTAAAAACAGATATCGCAAGCAAAGTCTATGTTTTTAATCTTTATCGGCCCATGGAATGTAGATTCCCTACCTTTTGATACAGACAATTTCAACTAAAATGTATGAAAAATTATAATAACTGTGCAATTAAAATATACATTTTCGACATGAGAATACAAGTGATTTCGTATCAGTAAAATTACGAAAATAAAATAAAAATTTTAATTTTTGCTCCATTCATAGAATTTAAACTATTTTAATGTATGGAGAATGGAGATTCTCTTTGATAAATACCTATGGGTATCTAATTCTGTGCCAAAACTTACCACCTAAAAATCTATGACTGCATACCAGAAAAAAACCCGAAGAACAAGCTCGATTACACGTAGTCATTGAGTACCAGACATAGCATTCCTATATACCTAATAGTCCTTCATGGATATGTTTAATTTAAAATCAATATTTTTATTCGAAGGAGTGTAATAGACAGGTGGATAGGCCCACTGGGAAATCGGGATTTTCCCGGCATCTCCCCATCAATATTATATTCAGAGACCCCAAGTCTCCAATCCCCAAAAAAATAAAAAGTAAATAATAAATAATAATAATATAAAAGTAAATTTTCATAATATTGGCTGGCGCCCTGGCGGCTGCACAGTATTTGTGTATTTGTAATATTTGTATACTCCATTAGAGCCAAGGGGCCTTCGTATAAACTCATTGATACCTGTATAAATAATATCTATTTTGTTGTATGTACTATGGAGCTAAAACTAAAAAATGTAAATATAAATAAATATCATTGATGTTCAAATAACAAAAATAAACAGCCATAATAACAATTAATTTTTTGATTAGTGATGGATAAGTATGACGTATCTATCTACGTTTATAATCGTTGTATCGTAATAAATTCAACTTATTCTATTTTTAAACAATGAATATTAATGTGAATGTTTTCATTTTCTCTTACATCAACATTAATAAACAGTATCAACTATTAAGCAGGTAATAAGTAAGTACAATAATATAAATTT